CAGCTCGGCATAGCGACGTCGCGGCACGCACGAGAAGGAAGCCAAGAGGGTGCGCATCTTGTGTATTGCCTCGTCGTGGCTTACATCGCCATCATCATCGTTGCGCGTACAGGTGAGCCTTGGCCCGAAGCATCAAGACCACTCCATTCATGCTAATCATCCTTCCTCTTGTGCAGGATCACTGAACAAATCCCATACATTTCCTTTGAAGTCTTGCGCAACGAGCCCCTCTTCCTGGGTCTCGACGGCGCCATGATACTCCTCTCCATTGGACTCGTGTCAGTTGTGCATCCTTACAAGTTCTTCCCGTTTCTGGGGGCAAGCAAGGAGCAAAAAGATTACCAGCAAAGCGGAGGATTCCAGATGATGCCGACGCAGCAACAAAACGGTGGGTTCATGCCACCGCAGCTATACAGCCAGCAGCAGTATAAACAGCAAGACTACCCTGCAGACAGACGGTAGCAAGATAGCCACGGCGCATGCAAGACACGGATTCGCGTTTGCGTTGCTGTTTTCCCAATCGGCAACTGTGGATTTCATATAACATCGAGATGGATGGCCTGGCCTATCATGTATTTCGCTATCGATTCTCTTGCGTCGCTACCCATAGGTCAACCAAGCACCCGTTTAATGAAGTTGGTTGTCGGACCGTCTTGCTCGTTTGTGGTAACAAGATGAAGTGTACAGGTCACGCTCCGCCTTGCCAGTGCCACCTTGCATCGGGGCGTTGAAAGGTCAATCAATGATCTCAGGAAGCAACTTGATCCACACTCACGGCTTCTGTTTTCACAGCTCGTCTTTTAATAAGCAATCGAGTCTACCTCAACAAGGATAGCGAATCCTGTATGCACCTGAGATGCACGGAACATGGCTCCTCTCGAGTCGACTCATTCCACGCGAGCTGGCTGAATGAGCTCCTCTCGGTCGTCCTGATGTGAGGGCCCGCTAATTTCCTGGATCGTGTACCACAATCACCTAGTTCGAATCACAATCCCTGCATCACTGCATGTCCAGGACCCTGTATCGTCACGTGGCCCATTTGCTTGCAAAGTCCCTTCTGTTCTTAGAGTAGATCGTGCAGCTTGGCAGTGGCATAAGCCGCACGCTTGGAGATCTTGGCTATGGGGCTTGTAGAGTTGGTGCAGACAGGGAGCTAGCAGGGAGCAGCTGACGGAGGTAGTGCTATTTGTGCGTAGAGATATGCTCCGTCTGTGTGCGGGGTAAAGACGAGATAGGTGCGTCCTAGGACGCTTGTCATCTCCATGTGTTGGTCTGACGAGTCAGAAGCTGATGATAGTCAAGGGCTTGACGTTGGAAATTACAGTAAATCCACTGGAAGTGTCTGCACGGAGGTGGAAGGGTGGGTGCCGCGGGGTCTGTCTGAGCTTGAGGTGATGCAGGCGGATGGAGACTACAGTTCGGTTGAGGCTGCCGTGACTTCCTGGGAAGGGGGACCTCCACAAGGATTGTTCGCCGAAGCCGCCAGAAAGGTTGAGAGGTACTACCAAGCTACCTGCAAGGCAATGCTGCGTACGGGTTATTTTCCTTCGTAGTTGCCTATGAAGCGAGCGCGCTGTGAGGGTCGACAGCCCAGACAATGAGAATGGTGAAAGGATACGACGTTGGGAGAGATCTAAGCGACTGGAAGATATGCATATGCAGTGCGCATGGACTGGGCTGAGGGGGCGCCTGCAGGCCAATTCAGCGCCGATAGCTGCAGCGTACGAGTCGCGACGGGTGGATTCTTTGGCAGATACGGTGTTTTTGTTTTCTGCATGCGGCGCAGCTGGGTGGAAGACTGGCAAAGAGAGTTCAGTGGTACTTGGCAACGGTGCTCGACACCTGGTGATGATGGGGGGTAGCGGTACCACCTGGGCCTTAATACGTGTCAGTTGTACAAAGAACGATGGCCGCTCCATGTTTCTTGTTTCGTCGACAGAAAAAATGATGGGGATTTGAAGACCTTAGAGGCGGGGATTCGGAATGTGACTTGCCTCGGCCGTTCTGGGGCCGAACCACCTAGGCTTGCTAGATAACTGATGTGCTCGAATCATTCCTCGATACGATGGACCATCGACTGACAAGTTGATAACGAATGAACAGCATGGTCGAATCGGAAGTATGGAACAGGGGGGTTGCAAGCTGTTAGAAGACGGCAGACGAGCGACCGTGTCCACGCATTGAGAGTGATACAGCGCATAGCCTACCAAAACTTCTGACTGGCTTTGTTGTTGCCTGTCACCTTGACTCGACGCGCATCAATGCAACTTCAAGCGAAAATGGGTCCGCCTCAGATGGTGGATGGAGGCTTGCTTGTGCGTCACGCTTGGGTTGAGTTCATGATGGTGCATTGCCAGGGGTCCGACTGCAACATGGTAAGAGGAAGTGGTCGGCACAGATGCATCTCAACGCAGAGAGGACCAATCGTGGGACAACCTGCTGGGTGGAACCCCAAAGAAGGTGGTGGAGATTCGTTGTCGCTCTCTCGAGAGACTGACGGTGCAGGCCCCAGGTGGGCTTCTTGGTGCTTTCCCAACGCTGGAGTTACGTGTGGTTACCCCGCAAAATAGTGCGATTGGGTGACGTCGCCAGCCGTGTTGGTGGCACGCTAAGCTGAAGCACAGACCAGATCCGTCGTCGAAAGCACCTGCCCCAGGATAGCGTTTCAAGGTGGCGTGCACTGTTGATTGGTCGCTGTGGCCCACGCCCTGCCCGAGGGGAGGTGCTGGGGGGCCCAGAGACACCTGCCGTGGATGCCGCGGATGCGCTTGCGCAGAGCTTCTGTCCTGCCCTGTCTGTGCTTCAGCGTTCCGAGCAATCCCAGATCCCAGCCCCGACAGGTGCTCACTCCCCACTCCAGTCCTGGGCTCTTAGCTGCTGGCTGGTGGCCCTCTGTTGTCGCTTGCCTTGCAGCAGTACCTACCCACTACCCTACAGCGGGCTGCGCGGAAAGGGCCCCCCACCCCCTCCCAACATCCCTCCTCCCGCAGACGAACCTACCTGGTCTACCTACCGCCAACAAGGGAAAGCTCAAGTCTATCACCACTTCCGTCCGTGGTCCACGGCGGCTGCTTCTGCTAGCCAACTCGT